CCAAATGGACCACCCGGACCTCCTGGACCTCAAGGACCCCCTGGACCCGATGGACAACCCGGACCCGATGGACAACCAGGACAGCCCGGACCTCAAGGACCTCCCGGAGACAATGGAGCCCCTGGCGCACCCGGACAACCTGGAGCAAATGGAGAAAATGGACCCGATGGAGAAACAGGGCCAGCTGGTAAGCAATTTACAAACAACTTTGACCATAAACATGTTGCCGATTGCTCATTATCACTATTTCCAGGCGGATGCGACCACTGCCCACCACCTCGTACAGCTCCCGGATATTAGGCGAGCATCGCGATTCACTCAGTGTATTGTGCCACAGAACCTCTTCATTTTCATTTTGTTCGCTGAGCGACTTATGTCTTTCCGAACAAAAAATAAATAAAATTCTAAACCTAATCTGTTATGTGTTTGCTTGTATAATGAGTCACACGCTGGGAGTCCTCAAGAGTACGAAAAGACGGGTCGCGGTAGTGAAGTGAGGCTGTTCGATTAACAAAACCTAACGGGTTTTTCAAAAGGCAATGCAATTCCGCATTTGTCGCGAGCGGGGTGGCGGAAAAGAGGCATTGAGATGATTGGAAAATGTGAAATAGTCCACGCACTTTTACGTCTTAGCATCTCCAGTGATCAGTTATTGTTTCGATCCGCAGATCTTGGAAAGATCATGCCAGTCAGTACACATCTTCATCTTTCAAGCAGCGAATTTGAATTTGAGCATTTCGAGCGGTTGTGCAGCGAAGTTCGAACCGGTTCCCGCAATATCATTTGTCAAAGCATTTTTCGCATCAGAAAGAGCGCCTTTTTCGAAAAGTGAAAGAGGAAAGCTGGGAGATGACCGGTTTTCAGTTGTGATCGCAACGAAAAAATTTACACACTGATAGTAGTGGATGGGATAAGGATGTTGCCAGTGGTAATGAGCAAAAATAATGTTTTGGTCACTTGGTTCAAAGACTTCGCCCCACGTATTTGGATCCCTATATGCCAGTAGGGCTTTGTTGATTTTCACTCGGATGGGCTAAAAATTCGCAACATGGGCATTGAACCTCTCCTCCTTTGATCATTTTTAGGCAAAACTACTCCTAATACTCGCGAAGAGCATGCCGCTAATTTTTTCCAGACCTATAGTCTTCACTGCCATGCTGTGAGACCTGCTTTTAATGTGCAATAATTCAGACTACAATAATGGGTTACTATATGGCGTTCCGCATCTTCACTCGAATAATTCGAAGTTCCTATAGTCTCTACACACTTCACTTGTATCACTGGAGATTTAAACCTTAAGTGGTTAAGAGAGGGGACATCAAAAAAGCTTCTCAGAATCGAAACAAGATTTCGTAGGGCTACATTGTCAATGGAATGAAACACTTACATGCATGCACTTAGAAGTGTGAATGCTTCTATCTAGACTGAGCAGGGACTATCCTGTTGCTTAGACAGATTCCATAGCTAAAGGTTATCAAAGTGGTATTCTAGTGCGGAATTTCAAAGCACATTTACTTTGTCTCGCTTACAAATGGTACCAAGAATCCATTAAAAACTAGCAAAGAAAAGTGGTTTAAGAAAGTTCTTCCCTACCATTACCATTTCATACCACAACTTCGTGCAATTCACCTTGATAAATATGCAAGTCAAGTTCTTCGATAGTGTTTGTACAAACTTTTTACACTCTTGTAGATTCTTGTGTAGAGTTTTTTGCAGCTACTTCTGTGACATTACTTGACGAGCGATGTTAGCAAGTGCAATGGAGTAATTGTACCTAGTTACGCAATCCATTGTAAATTCTTTACCTTTCTCAATGCTGCCAATTGTCTCTCTGAGGGTTGTAAGTACGAAAACCAAATTCCAGGAACTCCGTGAAAAAAAA